AACCAACTGAACTGATCGTGATCAAACTGGTTTATGAAACTTTTGTCTCAGGCCCCTCCCTGGTTCATGTTAAATCAGTTCCCTAGCATCCCAGCATGCTTTGCAGCCCTGTGCTGTCTGCTCCAGAGAGCAGGACTGGTCCCGCCCTCTGCTCCCTAGCTGGAGCCGTGAGGGCTGACTGATAAGGGGGCAAGGGGGACAAGCCTGGCTGAGAACGGGGGGGAAGGGAGGCGCCTGGGGCCAGAAAGAGAGGTTAAACACCTCTTCCCCCACTCAAACTTACTGCTGGCTGCAACTGTGGACTATAAATCCCAAAGACACCTAGAAGGAGGAAGAGAAAGTAATGAGGAACCCTGCAGAGCCCTGCTGCTGTAATTCTGGACTGCAAATCCCAGAGACCCTCAGGAGGAAGCGGAAGTGAAGACAGCAGGAAGAGGAAGTGAACACAGCAAGAGACCCATAATCTAGTGGCTCCCAGCTTCTGGCACAAGCCACTACAGGCATGTGGCTGTATTTCCTGTATCAAAGGTAAATGTCTATTTATATCTGTTTCAATTTAATCTCCACATCTTAGACTAACCTGCAAAGCCTGAATCAATTCAGCCTCGGGCTCCTTGACTATCTACCTAGTCTTAGGGTGCAGTATGCTGGATCTGCCCGACTGATTCATAGGGTCAGAAGGGACCTCAACAGATCATCAAGTCCAACCCCCTGCCCGGGTAGGAAAGAGTGGTGGGGTCAGATGACCCCAGCCAGATGCCCATCCAGCGTTCTCTTAAAGACCCCCAAGGTAGGAGAGAGCACCACCTCCCTTGGAAGCCCATTCCAAGTTTTGGCCACCCTTACCCACGAAAAAGTTTTTCCTGATGTCTAGCCTAAATCTGCTCTCTGTCAGTTTGTGACCATTGTTCCCTGTCATCCCAAGAGGTGCCCTGGTGAAGGAATCTCCGATGCCTTGCTGCGCCCCCCTAATGAATTTGTAGGCAGCTACAGAATCACCCTCAGCATTCTCTTGCAGAGGCTGAAGAGGTCTAGGTCCCTTAGTCTCTCCTCATAGGGCTTGGCCTGTAAACCCTTAACCATACACGTGGCCTTTCTCTGGACCCTCTCAAGGTTATCCACATCCTTCTTAAAGTACGGTGCCCAAAACTGGATGCAGTACTTCAACTACAGTCTGATCAATGCTGCATGGAGGGGAAGTATCACCTCCTTGGTTCTATTTGTCATGCATCTGCTGATGCATGATAAAGCTTAGTTAGCTTTGCTGATGATTTCATCACACTGACAACCCATGTCCATCTTGGAGTCCACTGTGACTCCGAGATCCCTTTCCACTTCTGTGATGCTGAGAGGGTCATTTCCCAACCAGTAGGTATGCTGGATATTTTTATGGCCTAAGTGCAGCCCTCTGCATTTGTCTTTGTTGTACTGCATCTTATTGTGTTCTGCCCACTTTTTCAACCTGTTCAGGTCTGCCTGCTATCATTCCCTACCCTCCAGAGTGTGCACTTCGCCCCACAATTTAGTACCATCTGCAGACTTGGACAAAGTACACTTCATACTCACATCCAAGTCACCAATGAAGACACTGAAGAGTACACGTCCAAGGACCGAGCCCTGCGGGACCCCACTACCCACGTCCTTCCAGGTTGGTACCAACCTGTCTACTACTGCTGTCTGGGTGTGACCCCCTCAAGCCAATTTGCCACTAAGTCTCAGCCTCTTAAGTTATTTATGAGAATGGGATGAGATACCTGGATGTGTTTTTGGATTGACTAAGGAAGACAAGCAGCAGCCTTCATTTTAAGCCTGCTTGGGCAACATTTTGCAGGTTATTCAGCAGATTTGTCCCTGAATATTCTCCACCAACTCCTGGTTCCTCCAAAACCATGTGACTGTCTCCAAACCTCATTTCTTACCATTGTATCTTACTGCCTGGCAGCATAACCATTTGCAGAGTCTTGAAATACTAGCTTCCTCATTCCAAGATATTCTTATCTTGGCTCCCAGGTGTATGACTCCAGTTCCAAGCTTTAGTTCTTACAACTGATGCTGACTAAGCACACTGAAGTAGCATAACAGAGTGAACTGACTTTATTCCCTAGCAAAAGCACTGAAACACAGATTCATGCAGTATCGGTGTAAGTCACTCAGCTGCAGAGTAAAAGTGACCCCTCAAAATACTGAGTTACCACACAAAGATGAAGCAGTTGTGTGTCTGCTCCTCCAGTCAATTTCATGGCAGGGAACCAGTTTGCTAAACTCAAGTTAGCACCCCTGCCACCTAGTAGTAAAAGTTCTGTAAAAGCACATACTGCAGGCCATAAACTGGCAACAATTAGTTACTTGTGCATCTACTCCTTTGACGGCCCACACAGTAAAATGCAGGGTATGTTACTCTGTGCTAATCCCAGGGCATGTCCACATCCTAGGCTATAAAGTTCACAAAGCCAACCAGCTAGGGTACAATTAGGGGATAAGGAACATGTGCACACAATTGTCTAGAACTCCTTTTCCAGATCAACCTCCCACATTTACAGTAGTCATCTTAGAATTAAAAGGTCTGCCTAGATCCAACTTGCTTCTATACATTTAAGGCTTCCATCCATATTGCAACACACAGAAACCTAAGGGGAACATATGTCAGCTTTGCATCTGAAGTGCCCTCAGCTTCACAGAGTATACTGACTGTAATTTTAAAAAAAAAATTGGTTAATGCCCAACTTGACTAATTCTCCTTCTTGCCCTAATTTAAGACTCCTCCAAAAAATCAACTGCTACTCACGTTTGAATGGCATCAAGCCCTGCCATCTTCATCTTCAACAAACGGTCTTTCCAATAGTACCGGGGCACACGGGCATAGTGAATGCTACCCGAGATGTAGCGGAATGGCTTCCCATCCTTGACGAAGCAGTTGTGGTCGTAGTCAATTCCAAAACTTCTCTGAGGTATGCTCTGCATGTCAAGAAAGTTACAAGGTGTGAGCTCCCACCTCCATCAAGAAGCCAGCTTTCTATTAAACCATTCTGCTTATTGAACTCTTCTATACCCTAGATCTCAGGAGCAACAAGAACATGACCTGAACTGGTGACAAAATATTGGTTCTTTTACAGCAGGGGTATCCAACCTTTTTGAATGTGGGGCCAGATCATGAACTTATCATCCCCCAGTGGGCCAGCGAGCCATATTCGAAGACCTCACAGGAAGTGGTATCACATCAGGAAGTGATGTCACATGACCTTTGACACCAACGAAGTTGCAGGAAGTGACAATGAAATGGGTCTAACCAGTTCAAAACTCTCCCTCTATAGCATCCACCTCTGCCACTGTTCAGGACAGGATACCGAGCTAGATGGACCATGGGGCTGACCAAGCATGGCACTTTTTATGCTCTCATGTTCAGAAGCTCTTATGTTCTTTGGCTGAGCTTCCAAACTATGGCTGAGATTTGCAAAAAGGGGTAGATAGGCATGTTACAAAGTTGTCATAAAAGATTTGGAGCCCTCTAAATCCCATTCATTTTAATGGAAGTTGGCCTTTTGACTCAGCTTTGAAAATCTCAGCCCAAGGTGCCAACCAAATAAGTCAAAATATATTTTGAGGTTTGAGTGGCTTGAAGCTAGTGAAGATGTACCCACAATCAGTCACTGACCAGAGTGGGAACACAGTTGTCCTCACTTATTAACGTGTCTCCAAGGCCCTGCACTGTCTCTGCCTACATGTTGCTCTCATGTCCTCTTGCTTTCCTAAATCTCATGAGAGTAGAGAATTCCCATCATACCTACTGGACTGCCATCACTGGATAGCTGTCCTGGTTCTAAGGTTGCGCTTCTGACTCTTTCGTGGCCTCTTTTAGGGTGCACACTTAGACCTCTGGCTTTTCCTTCCCGCCCATTTTGCTGAATTGTGATTATTTCCATAGGGCATGAAAGCAGAATCATAGCCACTGAACTATATTCTCATCGAGGCAATGACTCTTACAAAGTATGGCATATTTTAGTAGGATAAAACCATTTTGAAGGCCACACAGAAAGCAATAAGTAGTCTTTACTCACATGACCTTTCCAGGTATCAACCACCTGCTACTTGGGTTCCTGGCAGGTACAGACACAAGTTTATTAGCACGCTATTCCAGAGTGGGTCTCTGTGCCATAACCTACATCAGGTCTCAGATCTAGGGAGCCTGACCCCTCCCCAGCCATAGGCTTGTCACGTTATACCAATCTGCTGGCTGGTGCAGACCTGGCCAGGCTCCTCCCATCCCCAATAGCATGTGGGAAGCCAGCTTCAGCTGCATGCCACTTTTCCTGGCTGGTGCTGACCTGGCTGGATCCGTCCCATCCAGAGCAGCATGCGGCTGAAGCTGAGTTCCCATCAGCTGCTGGGGATGGGAAGAGCCCGGCCAGGTCTGCACTGGCCAGCAGAGGCGGCGGCGGAGCCGTGTGCCACTCGGGACAGGACAAGCCCAGCCGGAGCAGTAAGGGCCGAGCTGCATTTTCCCTCTACCTGCGCACGTCAGTCCTGAGCGGCACATGGCTCCACTGCTGCTTCTACTGGCCAGTACCGACCCAGCTGGGCTCCTCCCATCCCCAGCAGCACGTAGGAAGCCGGCTTCAGCTGCATGCTGCTCCAGATGGGAAAGACCCGCCCGGGTCGGCACCAGCCAGCAGAAGCGGCGGCGGAGCCGTGTGCCACTCAGGACTGACCAGCGCAGGTAGGGGAAGTGCAGCTCAGTCCCTGCTGCTCCGGCTGGGCTCATCCCGTCCCGAGCAGCACGTGGCTACTCCTCTTCCCACATGCACCACGTCAGCAACATCAAGCTGACACAGTGCATGTGCGAATCTTGTCCCTTCCCCAGCCTTCAGCAGCCATTAGGAAGCTGCTGAGGGGCTAGGGGAGGGACAAGGGGTGGGAACAAAAGTAAACAGTGTTTACTTTAATTTTCTGTCGCAGCACTGCAGGCCTCAGAAAACAGCTTGCTGGGCCGCATGTTGGACAAGCCTGTTTTACAGCCTTCAAACTTAGCCAAATAGATCTAAGGAACCACAATAAACCTGTAAGTTAAGCAAGTAATGACAGGAGTTGTATGGTTCTCCATAGCTGTACTCATTTTTCATTCTGTTAAGCGGGTTTAAGTCACTACCTTTATGTGGTGGTAGCACTATAAACACCATGACAGTTTAAATACACAAGACCCAAGAGAGCAGAAACAACCAGAATGCTAAAAGCTCAGCTTTCTGTACTGAGCACTCTGAATCAATACACATGCCCTTTGAAAAGGGACTGAATTTCAGTGACCCTTCTGCTAGATTTGATGTTGAAAATTAAACAAGAGGAGTCGAGTACAGAGAGATCTAGGTATACCATACACCCGATGTTCAGTGATGTGTTAGCTGAAAGTCTTCAGAGCTTAGTTTCTAACCAGAGGGCCACTGGAAGTTAAAGGGCTAACATTTCTGCAAAGCTCCTGCACTACTTGAAAGAAGTGTAACCAATTTTCAAAAAAGAGAGAGAAAGCAAGCTGAGGGAAGGCAACTTCCTCAGACACATGACCAAAACAAGATGACAGACTGCTGCCCAATGGGATACATGATCTATAAAAATGGAAGGATAAAGAAAGGGATGCATATTACAATCATACACCATACTTCTGCAAATCTGGCTCCAGTCTCAAATTGCTTACTAAAATGAAAAATATAATGGCCAACTGGAAAAACTTTGGTTTAGTGACTTGTCAGACATCACATGGAAATCATATTGAAAGCAGGGACACGCCATGTTTCAGGGCAGCAATCAACTGTCTTAACCATGAGACTTCTTCTCTTCCTGACATTTTCTGCCTCATCCCTGGCACTTTCCAACGTCAAATAAGGAAGCATGGGTTCTACGTACAAAAGTTCCTTTAACACGCAACCCTGAGTCATCCCTGGAGCATGCCCAGCCTGCGTACAGAATGAGAGTGCACTCTTAAAGACTATATCAGAGTACATGCACAGTTAAGGGGGCTGAATTACGGCAATCCAAACAATCTTAAATTCTGTTTTTTCCTAACTTTTGAATACAGGCAGCCCTCAACTTAAGATGTTTCAAGTTACAACAAATGGTACTTACACAGTTTATAAATTGACACCCTGTTTCAACTTTCTGATGTCAGTTTCAACTTTACAAAGCTTGATCTCATGCAACGCCACGCCACGCCAGCGAACAAGTTCACTGCATTGCTCATCTCCCAGGAGAACATCTATCCAAACTTCCTTGGACACTTTCTTTAAGAAAGCAGACAAGGCTCCAGAAAAACCTCCAGCCAAGACTCCTAAGAAGACTCCAGCCAAGAACCCTTCAAAAAGTCCAACCAAGAGCCCTTCAAAAAGTCCAGAAGTCCTTCCAAGTCAATATGATTGCTATTTACAATATAAATACATTTATGTAGCTATATTACTCATGTAGAACTGATCGAGTACAAAATTCTGGGGTATTTTTGGTGAAGATAGGGTATCAGACCTTGGTTCAGGAACCAATCCCCCACTTATAACATTTTTCCCATTGGAATATCGGTTCCGAACTATGACGTTTCAACTTAAGACACAGCTTTCAGGGATCAATTGTGTTGTAAGTCTGAGGACTGCCTGTATTTAATTTTGCGACCTCATCGGGTTTTTCTTAACATAGATGTGTGTGTACTGCTTCCATGTCTCTCTTTGAAAACTAAACAGAAAACAAAAGTTTTATTGTCCAGAACTAAACAGAACACCTTCACACATCATCAGAATCGCTGAGCTATTCAGATCCAAAGCACAGACTTGCACACCATGTGGCTAATGAACCTACTAGGAGCAGTCAAAAGCTGATATGGGGCCTTGTCACAGAATGGGGATGAGGATACGCTTTGCTGGTGGGTTTCACAGCTCTTTGCTGAAAATATTACAATACCCAAGTTCTGTTGGGCATGTTTGACTGATTAGTCACTTCTACAATTGCCTCCCTGCCTCTAGCAAAGCCCTTCTGCTCCCATACCTCCATCCTCAGCTCCTTCCTCGTCTCCTCCCTTCTGACCATCTATTTGGGCCTGCCTATATTCTCTTCACATTCCCACTGCTCTCCTCTCCATCCTTCTCCTACTAGTTCAATCTCAAAGTCCAACTGCCTCCTTTTCCCACTGGGCTTCCACTTTTGTCCCTGTGCCACTCCACTATGGCACCTGCTTCTCTTCCCAAACCTCATTCTTTACTCCTCTGCATTTGAGTGTCAGGGGATCACCACGTAAGGGCATCCCACGACATCCTGATGACATTCACCTGTACGTGGTTGTCTAGAATGCCTTGGCCCAGCCAATCAGATTCTGATTTCCACCCAATTCTCGCTGGCCACAACTTGATGGATTGTTATTTTGGAGGCGATGTTACCTCCATGAGTTTTGTTATGGCGCAAGGCACCCACCAAGTGGGGCTCCAGCCTCCCCTTTCACCCCAGCCATACACCAACCAATTATCACAGTAACAGATATAACCTGGAACATATGCGTGTGGTTGGCCTGACCATTTTCTCTAACTGAAGGCCAGCTACCGTTTCTTCTTCAGGATAATTACCTCTGATATGGAAAAGAGTCTTTAAACTGTCCTGTTTGTCCGGTCTGACAAACTGAACAAATCCTCTCTCTCTTCTTTTCTTTTGTCCCCCTGTTTTCCTGCACTTGATGCCAAGGATCCAGCCATCCTGAAGGGCTTCCTTCACTCAGCAAGACAAAGAAAAACCGCCGTAGGGGAATCCTCCCCCTTTTTTATAAAAAGATAAAAAAAATAACCAAAAAACCCCCTAAACTCAGTGTTCCTACTGACGCCACCCCACAGGTATGGTCCCTTTAAGCCACAATCCCTCTTTGGCTGGCTAGGCTTCCCTTAGGGGTTCCTCTAGTTGCCTTCATTAATGCGAGTCAGTGCCCCCTGGGGCTACACAGTCTCAGTCTGCATCGCCAGTGAAACGCAGAAGAAAAAAAAAACTTCCCTGTATATTCAGGTTTCCCTCCACAGTCCACAACCTTCAGCTGCCATGTTTGACGGGCAGCCATCCTCACAGAGCTCCTCTGGGCTCACAGATTGTCTAGATCTCAAATCCCATTCCCGGGGAATAGCATCTTGGCCCTTAACCAGAGCTTTCCTCCTGCTGGTGTCCTCTCTCCCCCCGACTCTCCTTCCCCAGGGAAAACTTCCGGCTGGAAGTAGCTCTGGGGCACCGGGAGGATCCAATCTGACACTCCAGTAAATTTAGTCTTGGGCACACCAGGAGGTCCCACCTCAGCATCATCACTGCCCTCTCAGGTAAGCAGAGATCATACTTGTCCTCTGAACAGGCACTACCAGCCTCTTTACAAGGTACATATACCTCCTCCCCACCCCCTCGCCGCCGTTTCGGATCCGGGCCGGCTCTCCTCCCCACCCCGCCACTTCAGGTCCAGCACCACTCTCCCCCCACCCACTCCCCCTCTAGGTCCACACAGCCTGAGTCTGCCAGCCTCCTTCCCCGCTCCTCTCCCTTCCTCCCTGCGCGCCGCCTCCCCCAAGGCACGGCACTGCATGGCACTCCTGGTGGGCCCAGCCCCACCCCCTCCCTCCATCCCTGCCTGCTGCCTCCACCCCCTCCCTGCCAGCTGTTCTGGGGGGCCAGTGGGGCCAAGCAGCAGGGGGGTACTGCCACCATCATCCCCCCCTTCGCCTTCTGGCAGGGAGGCGGGAGAGAAGCCCGGCTGCTCAGGCAGCTAGGACGTGTTTGGCCGCATGGGCCGGGCTGCCGAGCCAATTAGCACCCACCCCCTCGCAATTGGCCCAGAGCATTACAGACAGACACACAGACTACGCCTTTTATTATATTAGAATATTCATTGCTGCCATTTTTTTTATTTCCTAAAGTAGGTCTCTCTAGATATCCATTTCCAACGACACCTAGCCACAAAACAACAAAAGATAACTACAGAAGAGACTTTTTCTTGATCAGTGAACAATATTTTATTAAGTTGGACAGAACACTAACATCAGGTATCAGTGCACTGATTATACAGAAATAAACACTTCCTTAATACAGGTTGTTTTATAATATAAGCTATTTCAGTCAATCTATGATTTGGGTATCTCTCTGTGACATAAGGAGGCAATGTTGCCTTTTCAATAAATTCACCTTCTAGTAGTAAACAAATTAACTAACCCTTTGACTAAATTCTCAACCAAAATAATAAACCCATTCACTACTAAAGATAATCAAGACAAAAATGGATTTAGTACACAAGGCAATAAACTATTAGGAAAAAGGGGTTTCCATTGACGCAAAAGGCATTCTAATGCACACATATTAAATGTGCAGCAATTTATGTCACCCATGCATTTGTGGTAGGAACCATTTCTTTGTATTGATTTTTGTGAATATTTGTGCTTTCTTGGAAAAGATAGGACAGGAATTCTGAGATGGACACAAACATACACACACACACCTACAAATCAAGTTCCCCATAGTGCAAGCCTCCCCACGGAGGTAACTAGCTAGATAATTAGCATGCATCGCACGCAGTAATTACCCTCAATTTAATCATCAAAAAATCCAGCTGGACTCAATGGTTTAGAAGGAATGCTTTGCACTACTCAACAGAAGACAAACTTCAACTCACATCTTTCACAGAGACAATGCAGGCCAAATGCTTGTAGGAGCTGGGGTTCGTCACTGCTGTCTATATGGTACTTTTAAGCCAGGTAGCATCAACTCTATTTAGTCATGGAAAAAAGTCAGAGGAAGATGTGTACAAAACATAGCAAGTCATGCAGGGGAAACGAGGGATCCCAAAGCATTTCCTTAAGTAAAATGCGCTCACAGACACAAAGCACTCTGTGAAGGTGGAGCTTACAGAATTAGCAATGGGCATGGTCCAGACAAGAGGATGGTTGTTTCTGCTCTGCCAAAAGCAGCATTTTTCCTGCTCTGCCAAAAGCATCACATGCCTCTTTCCTCATTTGTTAATACTGCCTTTCCTGAGCAGACTTATTGTGACACTCAGATCCCACAGCAAAATTGGCCAAATCAGCTAGACAGAGGTACAAAAAAGTTATATGATTTGACCAGCAAATCAGAGGAAGTACGAACAGAACACCAAAACCTAAGACTTTTGGGTCCCTGTGTTGGTCTAAGACAGGGGTCAGCAACCAATGGCCTACAAGACAGATTTGAGCTACAGCAGCACTTCAGGGTGGGCAGAGAGGGGGGGGGGGGAAAAAAAAAAAAAAAAATCAAGACAGGCAAGGGCATCTGCTCTTCCCTGAACTGTGCCTTCCTCTGCCATGTGCCATTGATCCCTTCTGCAGCACCCAAGCCACCTGCTGCTGCCTCAGCCCTCCCTGTGGTGAGGGCTGCTCTCTCTCCTCACTACTACAGCTTCCGCTTACCCTCACCATCAAATTCACTGTCACCCATTGCCATCGGCTGTGGGGAAAAAAAATCAGCAGCACTCAGTGGCAAAGTAAGTAGGGGAATCAGTGGCTTGAGACAGGTGACTCCCAGGCAGCTGGTTTGGAATTCCTGAAACGTTGCCCACCTTCCTGAAAGGCTCCTTGTCCAAGACACCAGTTTGCCCATAGCCAGTCCACCAGCTAAGAGAAGGAACTTTGGTTCTGATGGACAAGAACACAGAGAAAGAGCTGGATTTCATTTGCAAATCTTGTGCCAGAGGAAGAGCTGAAAGGATGTGGTTAGACTTTTTCACCTTTTCCCCACTGAAAGCAAAGCTATGCGAACTGTATAAGTTTACAAGTGCACTTCAGTCAACTTGGACAATACACACAAATCAGTTCCAATTCATTTTGTGAACCTCATACATCAACAGCAGTATGCTGGGGAAGCAAAAACAATGGACTAATTTTTAAAACTAAAATTAAGACGCAAGCAAATCACTGATGCTATCAATATTACATAGTGCTAAAAATACAGCAAATTCAAATACACAATCAGGTGCTAGATAACACCCATTTAAGTGGGGGTAGAGATGGGTGGAAGGATTTCCCTATATAACAAAATAAGAGCTGAAGGTCAGGTTATCAGGAAAATACAAAACTAACCTCCCCAAAGGAAAGCTGACTAGTATTTAGTCTAGCTATGCTTTAGAGACCCTATCAATTTGAAATCTAGATAACATTAAGGTGCATCTAAAGTTTCAATTATTGATGTTAACTCTGAGTCACATTTGCCTTACTTTTAAGTTGTCTCCTTCCCCATTGCCAAGGGAAAGCCTACTCAACCAGAAAAAAGAAACAAAAACCTGAACAAACAAACATGATTTTTCCCTATTCTTGTTCACTTCCAGATTTCAGGCATTACTTACCAATAAGTTATTAAATGCTCAAACAGAAAAAGGATGTTTAAGTTAATGGTGTCATTTTCGTAAGTCATTATCAGGTATCTACTGGAAGTCTAGTTAAATTCTGGCAAAGTTAAAAAGGCAGCTATACCACCTTTCCCTATTACAATCTAATCCCATCATCATAGATTTCAGGAGTGAACACATGGGCATCTACTTGGTTTAGCATTACAGTGGTATGAGAAACCCCAGGAAAGATTTGGGACCCCAAAATATACAGCAAAAGAATTTGAACAGACATTATTTTCACTTCTGTAAGAGCAGTTGACGACCCACACACCCATTACTGGCATTTTGCAGGATTCTCTACACCTGAATGGAGACTTTGTAGAACACTGCAAAATCTGCATGCACAACGTTATCACATTTCCCAGATGACAGAACTATACTTCATCATGACCTAGATGACACTGTCAGATACCAGCAAATGAGAAAATAACGGAACATGAGTTCGAATAAGTTACATATATTAAGCATGCACAACGAAACAGTTATCACCATGACATCAGTGTTTAGATTTATATTTTAAATGTTGCATCCCAACAGAAAGAGGAGCTGTAATTGACTTATTTAGAACTTCCACACATCTGTGATATGTGATAGGCCTAATCTGTAACAGAAGTAGCAGTGCATTCTCCCAGCTTATTCCCATAAGTCTGATGATACCAAGTCCACCCATACCTACACTTTACACTCCACTAATTTCCTGGGCACATGCTGAGCATGGACACAGGTCACAGACCACTAGGACAACTAATTGCATTGGTGATAAAAATTACAAAATCTTGAAATTGATGGGCTGTTCAGGAAGAACGCAGGATGATCTCTGTTATTTCAGCTCTGCTGCCCAGCCTCATTGGCACTCCAAAATACATAGTCCCCGGGCTGACGTATACAAAGGTGCTTTGCCCAACTTTGTACAAGCCAACAAAGAAGGGATTCATCAAATATGCCCCAGCATTCAGAGGAAATATCTGACCACCATGAGTATGTCCAGAAAGCACCAAGTTTATGTCTGGCCGATCTTGGAGAGCCCATTTTGCAGCAATTGGCTGATGAGCCAGAAGTACTATTGCACGATCAGCACTACAGTCACTTAGGGCTTTCTTTAAATCCATTCCGTGCCCAGAATAGTGCAATACATCAGCCTCAATATCATCAACCCCCGCCAGACAGAACCAATCATCACTTTTCCTTGGTGACCTGATCTTCACATTCTCATTGTGGAGTGGACGAATATTAAATGACTTCAGCAATTCAAACCAGTTGCTTACATCAGAAGTATAATACTCATGATTGCCCGTGACGAAGTAAGTTCCCAATGGTGAACTCAGCTCGCCAAGAGGTTCAACAGCAGGTCGGATGGCTGTCACTTCAGAATCTGTTAGATCACCCACAATCACAGTGATATCTGGTTTTAAAGCTTTGACCATCTTTACAATCATTGCAAGTTTAGTCTTCCCTACGGTAGGTCCCAGATGGATATCTGATAATAATACCACCTTCAAGCTGTCCATTGATGATGGAAGTTTGTGAACTGGAATTTCCACCAAGTTTATTGCAGGAGGTTGGGCAGCATTCAACAACCCAACAGTGGTCAGGGCAACAGTTGCCATAACAGCCAAAACTGGCTTCATTGCCAACTTACTGCTCTTACTGACACTGATTGTCTTCACACCGCTCCCAGCCAAGAATTTATAAGCTTGCTCTACAGAACCTAGAGTGAAGAGGAAGAAAATAAGGATGATATAGGCTCCTAGACATGTGTAAGCAGCTAATGAAAAGATGTAGGGCTCTTCTGCCACTAGAAACAGCAATGTAAAAAAGCTTGAGTGTGCCAATACTAGAAAAGTTAGCACAATGATTTTCCATGGCCTGAAACAAAAGGAGTTGGCAGCTGAAGACTGATAGAATATGGCCACTGTGCTTCTCCAGATGTGGAGAGACCCTATCATCATAAGCACATTAGCAAACAGCGTCATCTGTAACCTGAGCAGCCACCTCCATGTCCTGAGTTCAAGTCGCTCCGCCAGGTAGGTCCGTGATATCATCATGGAGAAGACGACAACTCCAGCAGCTACTGCAGCCTTTGCTTCAAGAGGCAATTGCTTGAAGGAGATCATCTCTATTCACTGATGTCCCAGCTCTTTCCTTTTCTTTATGAGTCTCCAGTTGGTAATAATGTTATGAAGGTACTTCTCATTCAACTAGGCCTGCAACCAGGAACCAGCATCAGCTTTCTGATATTAAAATACATTCCCCTTTTCCCAGTCTGGAAGCCAGAAAAGTATTATCTGGCACCAGTCACATGACACTAGGGTTGGCTGAATGACAACTATCACTGTCAAGAATATTTCAAAAGAAAAAAAAAGGTTCATTGCTTTGAAATTAAATACAGATGCAGCAATATGATTATACTGACCTATGACAACCAGGCTCACAGCTCTACTGTCTTCCTTCCTCAAAGTTTTCATTAAAAAGTTATCATCACAAAACCTAAGAACACCAAGCCAACAAGAATTTGTCGCAAAATTACGGGCATCGCCTCACAAACAACACAGCAAGAACTGCTTTTCAATAATCAATATAATATTAGAAAACTCTTGTCAGCTTCATGGCTGTGCTGCTTCTAAAATTATCATACTGTGCTCAATACCTGATGGTATGCTTTAGACACCCAACTAACCCAGTCTCCAAGAGGTAGGTGTGCCTTTACACAATTTTATCTAACGTAGCAGGCATCATTGATACACACTGTACTAATGTCAAGGCTCTCACAAAAATATCTTGCCAGCCAACTTAGGCAACTAGAGCTTTGGGAAATGAAGGATAGTCCATTTATGACAGACCTTATAGCTGTTTTCACCCTCCCACCCCCCAAAAATTATGAAAAAAAATCAGGGAGACAAAACCACGAATCAAAACAGAAGACATAAAAATGCTTCTGCTATGTATAGTTTCCCCCTAAACCTGTTGATCCTTAATTGAAAACATGGTAAGTTTTCTGTTGTGGCCAACCAGAATGGCATCATGCTCACTTAGCCTAAGAAGAGGGTCAAAACCTCATGAATCCCTGCCTTTTCTTAAAAGGAGTCTCTAGACCTTTTAAAAGAAATTTGCAGGCCTCCTCTCTCATACAAACAAAAGGCAACATTCAGTGACTTAGGGTTTCCAACTTTTGGTTTCAATTTCACAGAGTTCAGAAGTTCAGTACTGCCAATTCTCATGATTTTTCGCATTGTTCTTAAAGTCTACGCTTTGGAAATGTGAAAAACTTCTTTTATATATATGTGGGTGTTTGTGCCCAAAAGCTTGCAAAGAACAATTTTTCCAACTATTTAGTTAGTCTAATAAAAGATATCACATCTACCCAAAGAACCTTGCCTTGTTGGTCTCGGGTCATTCTAGTTTAATAATGGGCAAAAAACATTGAGCAACTATTTCATTAACCTTTCCTAAAACAATGATAAAGCTGCTCAGCTATAGCTGTTGTGAATTACAAGAGCATACTCCTGCTACTATATTGCTTGCAAAACACTTCCCACAATTCAATTCATATTTCTCTGGAGCAAAAACAGCAAATGAAAGCATGTCAACAAAAAACATAAAAACTATAAAGCAGCCTCATAAAGCAATTGTGAAAGTGTCTCAGCTCAGGTCAAAAGTTCTACAGATCTGTATTTACCAGTGTGATAGTCCATTCACTCACTCATGGCAGTTTTGCATGAATTTAGTGTGGTGACAGAAACCTGCCACATCTTCTGAAGTCTAAGCCAGGATTCACAGAGGTTCTTTTCCAACTTGTGTTTAGTTAGTTGGGGAACTAAAGAACACAGAAAACAAGTGGATCTGGTCTGTGTTCCACATCACAGCAAATAGGCTCTTTGGAATTAGTTACAGTGATGTTCTGTCTCTTTCCTAGGAAGGAAGCAAAACTTTGTATTTTAAAAAAAGCAGAACCTGAGGTTTGTTTAGTCTTTCCCCCAAACTGATAATTTAAAGTAAATCTATTACAAGATCAAAACTACTTTATAGGCTGCATTCCATTTTAATCAAAGAATAACCGCTTCCATAGAAGTACCAAGCTATTTATTGTGTTACACCTTTTGGAACACATGCACTACATTAAAGAGTTTACTGAGAATGCCAAGCGTTTGCTTCAAACGCACAAAGGAAGCATGGTCTCAGACTCAGGCTAAGAAGAGGGTGACAACACCACAGAGTCTTGTCTTTGCTTGAATATGCTGTCCCCAATTTTAGCTGACACATACCCAATAGGCTCCAGTAACAACAGGGGAGCTAACTATTGCTCCATGGGCATTAAGCCCAGGTTAACCCTGTGCATCCAACAGGCCTGCCTTTTCTTGAATAAGTTGCCCCCCAGATTTAAATGACGCATAGCCAATAGCCCCCTTTAATAACAGAGGGGACTAACCACTGCTCCACAGGCCCAGGTTAACTCTATGCATCAAATCATGTATTCAAGAAAAGACAGGCCTATTTGATGCATAGCATTAATACAGGCTTAAATTAGTCTGAGGCATTAAAGTGCAGACAGTGTTGAGATTCAGAGCTCCAAGAGCCATCTTCACCTTTTTATGTAACAAGGCCCCCAAGAAAGATGAGTCAAAGCAAGGAGCCCATGGCTGCGCAGCCCCAGAAAGCTCAGGATGGGGCAAGAAAGGTTAAAAAAACCAAACAAACAGGAAAAAATACCTACAGCACCCAGAATTCCCATGCAGTCAAGTACTAACCAGGACCAACCCTGCTTAACTTCTGAGAGCAGATAAGTTCAGGTGTGTTCAGAGTGTAGACACTATCACATTTCCCTACTCGCCTTTTAAGCCCCTCTGCCTGCTTTGCCTCCCATTCCACACTACTAGCCCTTCCACCAGCACTTCTGCCCCTGCCTCCCCAGAAACAGGCTCACAGGAACCCAATTTAGTACATACTCCTGACCCACACTCCCAACACCGCTCCAGGCTAGTCCCGCTGCAGGGCCCATGCATCACGGGCAGGGAGGATGCACTGGGCTCTACTTGCCCATCTCTGCCTGGCCCCAGCCCAGCTGCTGCCTCTCTCAAAACTCCCAACTTTCCTCCTTCTTCTGGGGCCTCCAGCTGTCCCAGCCTGGGCAGGACAGAAAGCAGGCAGCCAGGGCTGATGCTGCCCCTGCTCATGGGCCCAGCCCAAGTCCGGATGGTGGGGGAAAAGACACTCACCAGACACAGAGTTGGCCCCTAGGCCCAACAAACATGAGACTCCCACAGCCTCAAACTCACATCCTTTCTCCTCCAGCAGCAAAGCACAGGCCAGAGATGCAAAGCACCAAGGCTGCAGGCTCTTTCCTCACTCCAGCTCCCTATGTCTTGTGCTAGGCAGAGTTTTGTGATGGCATCTTCACCAGATTGCCCCTCTTGAAATGGGGCAACAAACCCATACCTCTCACAAATAACACTGAGGAAAGGGGTAATGTGTTTGTTGCGCTGACCAGTGACCTCAGCAGATGGCTTTCCTTCTGTCCCCAGGTTGAAGGATATTGCCCATATCTACAGCCCAAGGCCCCAACATCGTAACTGGAATAGAGCCCATCTTTCTAATTTTCTATGATTCTATGCCAAGGGCGGGCAATTATTTTGGGCAGAAAGCCACTTACTGAGTTTGGCAAGCCATTGAGGGCTGCATGATAGGCAGCCAGGGGCAGATAAATTTTTTAGGGGCTCCATGGGCTGGATAGAATGGCCTGGTGGGCCACATCCAGTCCCCGGGCCACATTTTGCCCACTCTTATTCTATGCCTTCCAACTAACAGAGGCTGCTTTGTTACCAGAGGCCTGGGACACCAAACCTGCCAAAATGTTAAAATGACCAGCAAAACCATTAAGAATCCAGAATCAGTAGAGATGGCATGGGAGAAGCATGGCCCAGAATAAAGGCTAAACATCACAGGAAGGAGAGGGGGAGAGCAGCTCTGGCCTGCATTCAGGATTCTGAATAAAGTGATTCTGATTCAGAATCCTCTTTGAACCATCCTCTCTGAAGGGTGCAGACCTCCTGCAGTTTGGTTTCAGAGCTTCTATGACAACGCCACCCACAGCCCTTGTAATTCCCTAGGGCAGAGGTGCTCAATCCCTGGCCAGCTGGGCAGATAGAGCCCCTGCTGTTGTGTCATCCAGCTCTCGGGGGGAGAGCGGTTGCCACTCCTTTGTTGCCAAATGTCCAAACCTGTGGGCAGTGGGGGCTAGAGAGTGCGGCCCTATACTAGATCAATGGTGCAGGGGGGCTGTATGGGAGTGGCGCAGAGACTGATCCCTGTGCATGGGGCCAGACAGGCAGTGTGGGGTGCCAGGGCCCAATCCCAGCATGTGAAGCCAGGTAGAGGTAAAGTGGGACATTAAGATGTGATCTGGGCATATGTAGCTGAGCAAGATCAGCACACGGGCCAATCCTAGCATGCAGGGATTGGGCAAAGGCAGCTCAATCTTGGTGCGTGGGGCCTGATCCTGGCACATGGGTCCTGGTGGGGGTGCTGTGAGGTGCCAGGGCCCAACCTAGGCATACCAGGGCCTACCAAGACCTGTCAGGGACCAAATCTGGCTTGCGCATTTGCCTCCTACCATAAATCAGTCCTGCACGGCCAAGAGGCTGAGTGCCACAGCTCTGGGACAACCACAACCTATTCCAGGATAAACAGCACAAGAGCAACTCTCAGCAGAGAAGGGAGGGGCTGTCTTATTTTATCCCCATCGCTTTCAGCAGCTGCTGCACATGCCTGCCCCAGCTCCACACCCCAAACCCAGGATCAAGATGAGTGCCCTCTAATGCTGCCTGGCTGAAACCCAGATCCCTACACAGAGCTTCTCCCAGAAAGCAGGAAAAACGGGTCACAGCGAGGAGCCCGTGACTGGGCAGCTCCAGGTAGCACGTGATGGGTTGAGGAAGAAAAACAACAGAAGAAAAACAGGAAAAGCCTACAGCACCCGGGACTCCCACGCGGTCTCCCATGCAGGGTCTGATCAGGTGTGGCCGTAGACACCGCCGCTTCGCCCTGCTCCTGCCCTAAGCCCGCTGCGCCTCTTCCCTCCCGGCAGCGAGCGGGATCCGGGCGCGCTGCCCCGGGCTCAGACCGGGAGGGGGAAGGCAGCGGCACCGGCAGCCCGGGGCAGGGGCGGCGACTCACCGCGGGCAGCAGGGCGAGCAACGCAGCCAGGCGCAGCAGCGCGGACGGCATAGCCGGACCGCTAGCGGAGGAAACCGGAAGCAGCCAGCAGCGCCGCGTCCCGTGACCGCCGCCGGGTCAGCTGACGGCTCCAACCAACTGGAGGGGAGCTCCGCCCTGGCTCGGGCTCCCCCTGCTGCCTTGCCAGGAGCTCTCGCAGCCCAGGGCCCGGCCGGCCTGCCCCTGCCCAGCCTCCACGATTGGGCGGGACCCAGCGCTGGCAGAGGGAGAAAACCCACCTGGTGCTTTCGCCCTGCCCGCGGCGTTTGCCGTGGTCCTCGTGTGCGCCCCACCACCCCGCTCCCCACACGGGCGCAATGGGTCACGTCCACCTGGCAGGAGCGCCATGCTGGGTCTCCCCCCACCTGTGCCCTGCGCCTCCCAAGCTGCGACTCAGCGTCCACCCATGTCCATGCCAGCTCTGCCGCATCATCGCAGGCTGCCCCGCAGGATACCAGGCCGCCGTCGGCAGGTATCCCTGTCCCTCCACGTGCAAGGCCCAAGGCCGGGCCGCCTCAGCACACAACCAGGACGCACCAAACCCCAGCAGAAAGTCCTCTACCCCATGCAGCCTAGGCCCTGCCAACCCCCAGCCTGATGCTCCTAATCAGCAGCTCTCCCAGGCCCCACCGCCACCCCTAGGGCTGCAGCTCCCCCCTCCATCAAACCTTGCTGTCAAATGGCCAAGGCCCAAGGAGGTGAGGTAGAAAGGCAAGGGATCTTTGGCAGGTTCCCCTTGCCTGCCCATTCTGCTGCTAGGTAATGTTTGTTTTTCTAGGGAACGGCTCCAGAGAGAGAGGAAAATGAGTAATTTTATGTCAACTCTGGTCAGGACAATCAGCCACCTCCATCTCAGCTCTGGGCCTTCCAGAACTCCTCAAACCATCCCAAGTGGCTAGCTGACCACCACACCCTAGTGACTGCTGGTGATAGCACAGACACAACAGTTAAAATTTCCACATATATAATTTCCACATTTGAAAGATAATAAACTGTATCTTTGGAGGTATAGTCTCAGGGGAGGCTTCACCAAACGTCTCTCGCTGGTTCAGCTCCCACACTGCGCCAAGGATGCTCAGAGAAAGCTGAAGGCATGAACGCTTCATGCTAGTTCTTCCACTCTTGCAAATATATTGTGCAGGGCTAGTGAAGATCTTCCAGCTGAGATGAAAAGCCTGGCCACCAGACTGGCTGCTGTGCGCAGACCTGGCACTTGGTGATGCCTTGAAGTCCAGAATGCAACCTTGGAGAATTTTAGCCTGCATGCTTGGAGGGGCGATGAGGTGACAGTCCTTTATCAATAATGTATCCTGCAGAGCAGTTTCACATTGCAGATATTCCCAGCACTCTCAGGGCTCTACCTGGTATCTGAGCCGCCTACCCTGCTGGCAATTCATGGGCTGATGACACATTTGCAGGCAGGATCCAGCGCTGGCAGAGGGATAAGAGCCAGTTTGCTGCTTTCACCCAGCCCGGCCCATTTCCCTTGTTCCTTGTGTGCCCCGTGCCCCCCCAGCTACTGCCTGCCACCTCCCTCTGCACACATGTGCGAGGCCGCGTGGAATAGGTCATGTCCACCTGGCAGGACTGACACGCCATCCCCTCTGCTTGGGCTCACCCCACCTGTGCTCCGTGCCCCCCAAGCTGTGATTCTCAGTGTCCATCCATCTTCACATCAGCTTTGCCATATCATCAGTGGTTCGGACCCAATTTTGGCTGGACCTAATCACCCACACCTATAGACAATCCAATCTATCAGACTGATACAAAGCCCCAAATCAAGGGCTTGGCTCTCCATCCCAAACCTGCAAACCGGTTTGACTTGAATCAAGGGCTTGAGTTTCCATCCAGGAACACCTGGGGAGCCAAGCACTGCAACTTCATGCCCCAGATCTGTGCCATTGGTGAGGTGGGTTCAAGGGCCCATCAGCAGAGAGAAGGGAAAATGTAATCTTTTTTTTCCCACTACAATCAGCAGCCAGCTCCTGTCTATGTCTGCTAGAGCAACACACACCAGCCTCAGGATCAAGATGACTGTCCTCTAATGACTCCTGGCTGAAGGACAGATCCATGCACACAGATACAAGCTCAGAATTTGTTTATTTTCATTTATTTATTTTTTAAATGCAACCTCAAATTTCCCACAGCAAAAAAGGGGAGTTAAAGCAAGGAGGGCTTGGCTGTGCGGTCCCAAGCAGCCCACGATAGGGCAAGCAAGGGAAAAAAAGGCCAGAAAACCATGCATCCAGGATCCCCAGGTGACCTCCCACCCAAGCATGAAGTACTAACCAGGCCCAACCCTGCTTAACTTTTGAGATCAGATGTGTTCAGGGTAGTACAGCTATAAACATTGCTGCTTTCACCTGCTTACCTTTTCAGCCCCTCTGTATGCTTTGCCTCCCTGTGCACACTGCTAGCCCCCCCAGCATTCAGTAAACTGGGATTCAGAACTGGGGTGTGACAGGTGCCAGTCATCCTTCCCAGGGTGGTTGGGAGGTGGGAGCAGTGAGGGGGAGCTACTGCCCCTGTCCTGGGAAGGAAGCCTTTTAATGCAGAATCCAAGCCTGACCCCTACTTTATTCTGCCCCCCCAACCCTAAACCCCACTCCTGTGCCATGCTGCCTAGTGAGCTGATGTGCTCTGGGGGTGCATGGGGATTGGAAGGAGAGGGAAGAAGGGGGAGTTAGTTGGTGCCAGAACTGACCGCTGGACAGCAGAGTTGGGGGGAACCTTGGAGGGAGACTTTGTGGGGCTGGGTTGAGAGGGGTTAGTTTGCCCACAGGGAGCAGGAGGGTGAGAAGGGGACACTGCCTGCACTGGGATGCTGGAGCTCTGCAACCTGGATGGCCCCTCTGTAAGGAGCAGCCACATGACAATGGGGCAGGAGCTGGGGACACACCTCAGAAAAGAACCTGCCCTGGAGCAGTGCAACTTTATGTGTGCTTCAAACTAGTTTGAGGCATTAAAGTGTAGACAGTCCAGGGATTCAGAGCTCCAGGAGCCTCCTTCACCTTTGTATGTAACAAGGCTACAAGAAAGATGAGTCAAAGCAGGGAGCTTGTGGCTGGGCAGCCCCAGAAAGCTCAGGATAGGACAAAAAAGGTAAAAAAAAAAAAAAAAAAAAAA